GAAGATTCGCATAGGTCGATACGGAATCAATAATCAAAGGCAAGGATTCCTATGCGGATCGGAATTCACAGTTTCAGTTTCTGCTTATTCTACCTGTAATATACAACTCTACATGGATCGCAAAGAATGAAAAAATTTACAGAGGAATCAGGCAACAGGAGAAATTTGAACAAAATTATTTCAGTACAACCTATCAAGTATGCTAGTACCATCTCACAAGACATCAATATGAACATCTCTCTCGTGATTGGTGGCAATCAAGGTCTAATGCACAAAACCGAAAAGGGTTGCTTGGGGCTCGGGCTCTGACCGATTGCATGCCCATTTTCCAATTTCGTCATTGCTATTTCTAAACGTCCCTTCCGGCTCCCAGCAGGGAACTGAATCTGGCTACAAACACACGTCATGTTTCATTTCAACTTCGCTCAGCCTACAAGCTTATTCTGATCCCAGCCCGGCAGTGACAACCGACCGATCGGAGCTCTTTCGGTGCAACGTCATAAGCGTCCGTCATGCCGCTCTACATGGTGGATACCTATGTACCGTGGAGACAATTCTCAACGAACAATACGATCGATTTTTCGTGAATCGTAAGAGCCGTTGGACTAACATTCCGTTGTCGCAAGGAAACAGACGCACATTGAGGTTGTCTGAACGAGGCATCGTTCGCTTTATTAACCGTTAAACCCTTTCTAAAGAAGTATGCTAAGCATGCTCTGCTCTGTCGGCAAGAGTTTTGTTTTTGTTTTTGTGACTGCATCGGGTGGAGGAGATGGACGTGAAAAAGAAATTATCAAAATTTCGGCTCGCAACTATTTTTTTTTCCCCGTTTGTTTCTCCATCGAAGCAGAAATTGCGGAAACTAATTGCATGTCGAGAATGCAAGCCTTGCAAAGCAAGGAAAGGCAGTGTGGGTCAGCAACAAGAGCGAGTCGTTCGCGACTTTCAGTCAAGCGATGGGATAGCAAGGAAAGATTGCCATCGGTCGAAAAGCCTTTCATGAAACATTTGTCATTCGCTTCTTGACGATCGAAACCTTCTTTACGTTCTTTCGAAACAGCTTTTTGGAGAAAATAAAAAAAAACACTCCCCACGTCTTTCTTCAAACGTTCTTAATCCAAAATGCTCCTCTGCTAGGATGGCATCCCCCAAGGATGCCTTCGTCAACCATTATTAAGTTCACCTCTTCACAACCGACCTAGTTTTCAATTCACGTGGCTATTTTTTGTTCCCTTGGACAAATTCTTTTTTTGGATTTGTAAGCAACGTTCCCCAGTTGCTCTTTTCACAACCAGAATTCATTGACTTCTCGGTTCGGAAGTACTGTAGACTTTGTATTTTTATGTTATGCTCGTTCTGATTTTGTGATGGTAGTCTCCGGATTCACAGATGAGCTCCGGATTCACACACAACAATACTCTTTTAATATGGAGAGGATTGAAATAACGAACTTTGCCTGGTCATTGTATTTCTTTAAAGCCTGGATGAGAAACGCCATTACCAAGGGAGTGGCTTGGGGCTTGAGGTTGCTTGTGATTGGTCGGTTGTCATGGTCGGAATGTAGACGAGATACACTTGTCTCGGCACCTTATTTCAATTTGGAACAAAGAGCGCATTTGGGAGATGTTTGACGGTGCACAAATGTACTAAATATTGCCAGCTCGACTACAAGAAAAGGAAAATAATGCAACGTTCTGCAAGTAAGAATCACTTCCAAAGTCAATGCCAACTCAAAAAACCGAACGTAGTTTCCAATTCCTCCTCTCTCTTCTCCCTCGACACTTTATGTCATGCAAGGCTTTCTGAATTCGGCAACGTCTCGAGCACATAATGAAGTGCAGAGCTAGGAGAGCGTTATAATGCATGGCAGGCAAACACAAGAACGCCGAGCAGGATGAGAATGACTCAACAGTCCTCCCCATTCTTGGGAATTAACGCCCCGCGGCTCGGATTAAGATCTTGCCACCATCCAGTATCTTTTTGTGCTTGAACACTTCGATTCTCGGTATGCTCGTCAGGCTGGGTTTTTCGTGTCCCTGAACGAGGCTATGTTTGGTATTTGTGGCTTTTTGGAAAACCCTGAAGTGAAGGGGACGGAGAAGATCGGTCCTCCTTGCAATCGGCCCATCCCCTTAACGTCCACGCACCTGTTCTTACCAAGCGAAGAGCACATGAGGTTGAGAAGCGGGGAGACGCTATGCGACATCTATCAAATATTTTCGCCTTTTTTCTTCTTTTCTTTTGTCTTTTTTTCCGGTAAGGGTGAAATTCCCCCTTTAACGCTACCAAAAGACTTGTTCAAATGATTTCTTGTTTCCACAAGGTTGCCTGGGAAAACAAGGAGCGTGTGCCTGCATAGCTGCTATATCGGCACTGGATCATGAAAGTATACAATAGAGAAGAAAGGAAGGAAATTGAAGGGAAATTAAAAAAAAAACAAGCAAACAAAAGAAATGGATGAGAAAGAAAGAGCTGTGCGAAGTGTCAGAGAAAGACAAGTTCCAGTATCTGTCTAGCATTGAAAAAAATTAAGTACGTTCCCAGATCATAATCATAACCTCCTTCTCTTCTACTTTTCAATGACACATTGGAATTAAGTTACATATTTCGTTTCTGAATCTTAAAATAAAATAAATGTGAACCCTTGTAAGCCAGTTCCACCTCAAATTATGCCATTTGCAATCTGCTTTTAGATTACTTGTAACTCGGTTTCCGCGTTCTGTAAGTGAGGGATTTCAACAGAAAAACATATGAATAATGAATACATTTTTGGTAAATCGAATTCCGCTTACGCCCGTGAGAACTACATTTTAATCGGAGACCTAGCTTCTTCAATCTAGTCTCGGCATCGAAATCTCATTTTCGGCGTTCCCAAAAAAGACGAAACTGAATGCGAAATAAGGCGACTAAAACCTCAAGATCGTCCGGGGTGTCCGAAGTGCGTCGACGGGAAAATTTTTCTTCGAAATCTTGGTATTGGATGTGGTTGAAGCGATTGCAGATGAGAATGGAAAGCTTAAGATTGAACATTTTCCGCCATTGAGGATTTTAAGTGTAAGTTTTAAGTTTCTCGTACGAACATATGACACCCTTTTGAGGGAAAGAGTAAAGATTTTTGATTGTGCAAGCAAGGAAAACCTAATGGACTGCAGGAAACACCTCAAATTCAGTCTTCATCCAAGTATACCATGAAAAAAGACCGTGACTATACCTCCTGGGAATTGCTCGTAGAAGGTTCGCAATTCATTTTTGGCATTCTCTAAGTGAAGAATGTCAGCAGATAGACGAAAAGCAACTGCATTCCAGCAAATTGAAATGTTTTCGTCCGTGAGCGATGGGTTGGATTCGAAGATTGACGGTGTCGGCAGTCCAGTGACATTTTTCGGCGTTTCTCAAGAAACATTCTCTCTATTACTCTTCGATGGAAAACTTAATGTGGAATACGGTGAGAGGAATTTGAAATTCCTTGACGGACAAGTTTTCCTCGAAAACTTGGTATTAGACTGCAGGTATGAAGCTGAAGCAATTGCAAGTTAAACTTTCATCACTTAAAGAATAGTGGATCTTTATCTCTCTCTTTATAGTGGATTGAATGTGCGAATCCGATGCTTCCGAGGAGAATGAGGAGGGATTGTAATTTTTTCATCATTCATAACCAAGAGGACTGCGGGAAAGACTAAAATCACACCCCCAATGCAATCAACAGGGAAAAAATACCTACATAATTTTGGAGGGTGTAGCTTGCGATTTTTAAAGCAGTTATTACCCATATCTAGTGTAAGAGCATCCGTTTAAAAAATGAAGACACGCTGGAAAATGCTTGACTATACAACTATTTCATTTTTGTTGAATGATCCGATTGAATAGCGCCTCTGACAGCCGAATCAAGTCATTTGCGTCGAAACCCAATATCAATGAATTTCAGCCACCAATCACCCATTTTCATTCCAATTGGCGAAATATATGAAGAAACGCTGGAGTTCAGATACCGGGAGTCGAAAATGATCCTTCCATACGCAAAGTCTGCTGTATCTGCGTACCGGAAATTCGTCCTAAACGCCGATTTCCAAATACGCATTGATATTCACTTTCCATTAGGAAAATAAGGAAATGAGTTCTGCTCCAAAATGAATTACAAACCACATGAAGAGAAAAGGTATACAACCCCAAACATTGGAATATATTGCTTGTCACTCATGAGAAGTGTCAGACCATTGAAGAACATGTGCTAGCACATGCCGCCGCAATGCCTGGTATGTCACTGTTCTTTCATTGTTGTGGCACTGATCCGATCAAAAAGAAAAAGGTCAGCGACTGTTCTTGTCAAATTTGTGGGAACCCAATTTCCAACGGGAACTTTAGTCATCTATCTCCCAAATGAAAAAAAATACGGAGAAAACAAAACAATAAAAATCAAAAAGCATTTCGCAGGGGGCAGCTTGTGAATCATATATGGGCTTGCCTACAAAACAAAATGTGTGCAACCTCCAGCCTCCCAAGGCTCTATTGAAAAAAGAAAAATGTTATTGAAACATTTAGTCCTCTCCCTTGCAACATTTCCAACAAAATGGGACAGAAACGCTCTAAGTTACTACATTTGTTGCACAGTAGCTACACAACATACTAAAAAAAAAAAGACCTGAGATTTGAGGTATTGGGAATAGGATTGCTTTCTAGAAGCATTCCATATACTGACAGCTTGAAAAAGTAACAGCAAAATAGTCCATTACCTGCAACAACTGATCTAAATGCTAACAACTCAATTACCCATCATTGTTCATAACAATTGCAGACTATGTTTCACTTTCTCGTTTCACCATCCATCCCTGTGTTTCATCTCACTTTGAAGAATGACGGAGTATTGGCAACTCACCTCTACTAATCCCTTTTTGGGCCCTGCTACACTCACTCCTTTTTGCATCATAGACTAAGTAACTGGTTCACTTTTTCTAAGCAATTGTTAGCTTTGAACCATTCCCACTATAGGAGAATAATCAAAGTTCCTTGAGAAGGATGGCAATTTTTATTCCTAATGAGTATAAATGGAAACATGGGGAGGATTTCCTCAGGAGGCATGTGACTAGACGTATATGGGGGAGCCCGATGAAGAGGGTGCTTCACTGCCCAGGACTCTCAACGGTATCACGTGATCACCACTTTCAAAGAACCTTCTGAATGTGAACTCAAAGAACAGATCCTCTGGATGCCGACCCAAACACTTTTCCTCACTCGAATCACTTGTACGAAGTTTCTCCGGGTCTACCGGATCAAAGTTGGATGTGTCTGTTGCATAGCGGATCTTGGGCAAGTATGGAGCTCGTTGATTTCGTATGCTGATAAAATCCACAGAGGCAAACATGGCATGTTGTTTCACCTCATCAGCTCCATTCTTCCCAAGTCTTTTCTCCTGACTAGTACACAGTTTCAGGATCAAATCACGAGCTTCCATGGACAGGTTGGCTGCCTTGGGGATACGGAGTGTGGTCTCCCAGTTAATCACCTGAATACACAAAAGGAGACATGTGTGAAAAGCCATTCAAGGATATGGAGAGAGAAGGAAGGATGGAAATGAACCTTGAGCTGAGTTTCTGCAGGCGTGTTAGCTAGGAAGGGAGGCTGTCCAACAAGCATTTCATACAGAATCACCCCCACACTCCACCAGTCACAAAGCTGACTATATCCCACTCGATTCAACACTTCTGGAGCTATATAGTTGGGCGTGCCTATATCAACAAGACCACAAAAATATTAACACCATAGGTGATTACACTTCATCCCAACCCTTCAAAAGTCACATGGAGCTCAAAACTAGCACTTCAAACACATGCACCAGACTCACCAACAAGGCTGTGTGCAAGGCATCGCTGGTGTTCCCGTCGTTTCCTCCTTTCCAAAGGCTTCAGTGCAGGAGGTTGAGCATCCAAATTGCAGTGGCATTCATTGCTCCAGCCTTCACCTGGATCCATTGAGTCCTCCCTCACATGTGCCCCTGCTGATAACACAAGATATAAGTTAGCAAGCAAAATGAATGGGATGTTGATGTGATAGCTGTGAAAAACAATGAAAAAGGCAAAAAAAAAAAAGCAATCCTCTGAGTATCAATTTCTGATTTGAAGTAATGAACTCATGTGTGCAAGATGTCAGTTTTCAGAATTTCACTAATACAAACCATATCCATGAACATTCAAAGATGGGGAAATGCCATCATGACTACATAATCTTTCAGGGGTGCACTTTTGACAACCTATACAATTACAGGTGACATTTTTCCGTCTGTCTGTCGGAGGCCTGCATGCATAGACTTTTCTAAACCTGACCAATGTGATTGCTGACAGAACTTCGTGGCCTCAACACAGAGATCATGTCTGGCTGATCAGACCAGCTTGGCAGATATTCTTCTCCCAGTCAGTCTATGATGGAGAAAATTAGTTATCTAAGTCTCGATTGCACCTTCACAAAGAACATTAAATGACCACTTTGCCACTTTAAGAATTTATATTCATTTTTGGAGAAAGCACAATAAAGTTCATGAGTGATAAACAATAAAAGATATCTCTCCTATGCAGTCAAGTTATTCTGAATAAGGAAACATGTATTCATGAAAGCAAGGGTATCATGTGGTAAGGAACAACCTTTTTTGCAATAGCTTACAAAATGGAAAAGTTTTGCTGCTAAAAAATGTTGCAAATTAGGAAATAGTTTGTTGCAATAAGTAAAAAGAATGAGGTTATGGACTACATTTATTTTCTGCCATACATATTAGGGAAACCCTGACATCTTTGCCAAGCAATCTAGGCCAGATGGGGACCAGGGCTTTCCAGTCCTGGTCCCCATCAGACAGACTGATAACTGCTTCCATCACCCATTTTGGGGAGATCAGATAGGGTAAACAGAAAGGATTAGATAGCCAGGAATGAAGGAGAAAGGAGAGGAATTCACCATTTCTCTGGTAGTACTTGGAGTTGTGCGTCCATCGAAAGCCAGTGCAGAGGCCAAAATCAGTCAGTTTGATATGGCCATCAAAGTCTATAAGAATGTTGTCTGGTTTGATGTCCCGGTGGATGAAACCCATCCTGTGCACACTCTCTATGGCACACACCAACTCTGCGACATAGAACCTGGTTGGGGGAAAAGACACATCAGGCTTATACAATTACATTGGGAAAGACATTTTGAATAATTTCCTGGAACTAAACAGATTCACATGCAAGGAAAAATAGTGACATGCATTAAACCTTTAAGGAAGCAAGCTAAAAACTTTCCAGGATTCACTCACTTTCAAGAGGGCAAAAATTTATTTTATGTTTGAGTTCAACTTAACCTCCATGGCAACTGGCAGATTCCTCATATTTCTCTTCCCCAAATAACACTTTACACCAATTATAAATTTAGCATGGAAGGTATTAACCAACATTTATATAGATAAGCACGACCCAAAAAACTTTTGGACTTACCCTGCTAAAATCTGAGATTGCATGGCAAAAAAAGAAAGCTTAACATATCAAAACTGCATAAATATTCAGCTAATGAAAATGCCACAGCATTCAAAATTGCAGGAAAATGATACATATGGTAATATTGCTTCTAAGAATGGGAATCAAGATTCTGGAAATCTTTCTGGCTCTCATTATGAATCCAGAATGCAAGACTAACTTTTTTTTGCCTTTGCAACCATGTACATGCAGAGAATGCTAGTCTTTCTTTTAAACATGCTCTGCAAAGACACGAGCAAAACTGAACCATGGCCCATGGAGAAGTACAGTAGAGGATGCCTGTCTGGACCTACCTCCAGTGGACAACTTATATCTCCCAAACAGGCTATCGCAATGAACTAGTATGTCATGTCTGTGGAACCCTTGAAAGTGTATTTCAATAAATGAACAGGGTCCTAATACATTAGTGTATAATGATCAACTTTTAAATATTTAATAAATATTTGCCTAATATTTACATACTGAAAATTATAAATGATTCCGCACAGGTGATGTAATTTCATATAAATTCCTCACTTATTTTAAGGAGTTTGGTCAGAACCATGTAATGAAATTCTGACAATCTTCCATCACCTTTCACCAATCCTCTCCCAACGTATAACTGATTCCTCAAAAATTTTCATCCATCAATTGATCAAAAGGGGGAATGTTTAAGGAGAGCATCACCATAATGCATTATTTGTGGACACATGCACATCTGCTGAACATGGAGGTCATTACATTCCTCACTTGCAGTTGGGAGCCAAGGACCATATTGCATGCTATAAGTTACAAGCATCACTCTAAACAACTTAAAACAGGCTCATTTCTTATGTAGTCCACTCATTCTTACAATACTTTGTGCAGAGGTTTTGGGATACCTTCTCTCACATCACAAGCATAACATGAGTGAAATTTCAGTTCTTATGGTATAGAAAGTTCATACCTTGTTTTACCCTCATATGCATGTAAGGCATATGAGGGTAAAAGGACTCTCATCAGGATTACCTAAATATCCCAAATCCAGCATTAAGCCACAGAGTAAAAATTTTTTCTCTCAAAATTTCTTTATGGAGTGATAGATGAATTCACTGTAATACAGCAAATAAAAATTAAACATCCCATTCATTCAGCTTCACCTAAGGAGAGCCTTTGCTCTTCATTATCTAGCATTCCCATAGGTACTATGGGGAAATGCCAGATACTGCTGTCAGTCTGTCACTTTTTTTTTTTGCTGAGGAACAGCAGGTCAAAGATAGGTATGATAGGTGTAGAAATGGGGAGAAACTAAATTGATGGTCTTACCTGGCCAGAGATTCAGAGAAGATTCCAAAACGAATGAGGAGGGACATGAGGTCACCACCAGGGATGTAATCCATTACAAAATACAGGTTCTCTCGATCCTGCATTGAAAAAAAATAATAATAAATAGAAGGCTAATATTTTGCATTGTCTACAAAAGACACATGATGATACCAGTAATGTACCATATAAGAACTATGGGTTGAAATCTCAATATGGCTAATCTTTAAGTCATTCATGGTATATTTTGCTCTAATTCATAGGTTTAACAGCTTCAATTCAGCTTGGACAGATTTGCAGGTTGAAACTCCCTAACCCTTCTTTCTTCAAAACATGAGGGTAACTTCAGTTGTAAAGTGGCTCATGGGAACCATTTTAAAGAAATAAACTTTCTGTTGAAATACTTTTTTTAAGTTGAAAACAAAAATGTTCATTTTTCCTTTTCCATGTTCTTGTAAATTCCCCACCAGCCTGATTCACCTGATTCTTGCTATCACCATGAATCAAGTCAAATGCAGTCAGAAACAGAATGGGCTCAAATGAGACCCCAAACAGTCTTCACATTATTTTTTGAGCTGACAGCAAGGGAGGGTTAAAAAAAAAAGCACAAAACCAAGTACTGCATTAGGTGATTTGAAATTGATGGTTCACATTCACTGAAGTGAACACAATTCCACTCATCCAGTAGAATGGGACACATGATCTTGTAACCATGGCATGACATACTCCACAACACTGGTACAAGAGAAGAATCATCCACAAAAAAGCTTTACTACTTCTCTTGTATCCTGCCATTGCCTCTCCATACAAAATCATAAGCCATAAAACTAGGGAGCAGGAGTTACTCCACATCCACATAAGATACCCCATTCCTTGGAGCCATGCAGCTGTGCTATAGGGCAGATAACACTAGGGGTGCACCAATACCGATCCAAAGTATTGGTATTGGCTGATACCTATATGTCCTATCCAATCCGATTCTCCCTTGCTGCACGCTGCACTTGATGCACAGCGTGTAAATTTTTGGAATGTCTCATGAAAAAAATCACACTCGTAATGGCATTCGGTTCCTTATATCTGTCATGATGATTCTTTTATAATCTCCAACTGATAGACAATGAGCTTGAGCATGGTTAAAGTGGAATGCGAGAGATTTGAGGGCATTGTACGAATGGAATGAGCCAGTGTCATTCGCGTATGCATTCATTCCTTCAATTTCCCCCCTTCTGTCCCGTCTCCTGCCTTCCTACACTGACTGGTTTGTGCCAGTACACTTTGTGCTCATGTCCATCCCACCTTCGGCATTCCCCTTGAGCAATGATCCCAGTTGTACAGTAGTTGCATCAACTCCTTAATCCCTTAAGGGCATTAGATGTAGTTCCTACCTCTCCTCCTCTTCACACCAATCGTCCTTTGTATGTAGTACTTATGTCCAACATATTCTTGGCAGACCTGGTGAATGGCAGGGGAAGTTATGGCCTATACTCAAGAAGCTCATATATTACTGTCGTAAATGTCTCCAAAGCTAAATAAATGACAGGAACTTTGAATGTTGGGTCATTAGTGTCCGAGGATTTTTTATTTCTGCCCTTCTATGCCCAAGGTAGCATGAGGCTTACTAAGGTCTGGTCCTGTATTGTGGTTTCATTTCTGACAGCTACTGGGAGCTGTCTGTATCAGTATCGGCCGATACCATGACTCTGGGATCGGTATCGGTATCAGCTAATCCTGGATCGGTGCATCCCTAGATAACACCAAATTCTTTTCAATTGGATATGGTGGTGTTGGTGATGAGGCACCATTGATGATGATGCTTCATTAACCCTTCAAGCAGTGTTCATGTACACCATACATTCATCACTTAGGAGGTCAGGTCAAAACTCAGCGCTTGAAGGGTTAATGCAATTGTAAACTATGGATAGGTGCCATAAGGGGTTAATCAAGCTCCATGTCTTGTTCAACTGAATGGCTGAAGAAATTTCCATTTGTGCACATGGGACAATGCTGGGTCTGAGGTTTATAATAATAATAATAAGTAATTAAATGAATAAAAAAGCCTGGGCACAAACTTTTTGCAACCTGTTTAGGGACTTAGAAAAGCACTTAATTCACTGAGTTTCTTCATGAATGTCATCTTTCCCCATACTTCTGCACTTTCACTCAAACAAAGCTAAAATTAACAGCATTGCAGAATGGTCCCAACTTGCAAAAGCAAATTTTGTTAAACTTTCATGCTCACCAAAACATTGGCCAAATCAATCCCTTAAAGACTTCTATCTTATTATCACCTAGGCATAGACAGTTTCCCACTCATACTGTAATCCTTCAAGTTTCATGACATATTTAGAAGAAGCTGCATGACAAGTTCAGTGTCTCTTACCTGGAAAGAATAATAAAGTTTGACAACCCATTCACAGTTGGCCTCTGCTAATATGTCTCTTTCTGCTTTCACATGGGCCACCTGGTTCCTCTTCAGGACATCTGTCTTCCGAAGGGTCTTCATTGCATATAGGCCATTCCCATCTAACTTCTTCACCAGGGCTACCTCCCCAAATGCACCAACACCAATGGTTTTGATCTTGCGAAACATGGACTTATCCATTTTTGCTCTCTTCAAGCGAATGTAATTGGACTCCTTTTGAAAGAGCACTTTTCGAATCTGCTCCTGAGCCTCTTCTGAAAGTCCCACTTTTGCCATCTCACATTCTAACTGAGTACGGCGCTTATGTCGCTGTTCACTTTGTTTCAAGACATTCTCAACATGCTGCTCCATATAGAACTTGAAGGCTTGAGGTGAATAATTCCTCACTTTTGTCTCAAGCCGCTCCTCTTCCTTTTCTTTGCTCATTTTCTTCCTTTGTGGGATGGGAGATACATGAGGAGATGGAGGTGTAGGAGGAGGGGGTGGTGGGGGTGCTCGCTTCAAAGGGACACCATCAAATGACACAGGGGAGCTGGACATTCCAGCACCTGTACTTGATACAGGGCTCTCAGATCGACTGCTTTCTGTGTCTAGCAATGGTGATGACACTGGGATTTGAACCAAGGGAATGGCATACTTTTCCAACACACTGGATATTGTACTGATCACCGGAGTTGTTGTGGTCATGGGCCCACCCTGTAGGAGCCCTCCATAATTCCCATGGCTTCCATGTTCAAAGTTACTGATGCCATTATTGCAGGAGACAGTATTCACAGAAGCACTGTATGAGATGGAGTTTTGGGCAGACACATGAACTCCCAATGAACTGCTCAGACCCACACCATAATTCCCACCATTGTTATTATTGTTATTATGATTATGATTATTTGCAGGACTGATATTGTTGTTATTGTGACTAGCCATGGCCTGGATGGTTGAATGATAACTTGGGGGTTCTGAGATTGGAAGAGGAGGGCCAGGACTAGAAGATTGGATGGTCATTGGAGATGAGGGTGCCACTGCTGTCTGGAGAATGGGTTTCTGCACTTGAACACTTCTCACTGAATGCATGATGATAGGAGGCTGGCTTCTTGTTTGCCTCCCGCCCCATGCTGGATGAGGTGGGATGGGCACACCGGTGGAGCCAGTGCTACTTGTGCTTGGGGTTGGAGAAGGACTCCCACTGGTTCGCTGAGCCATGGATGGATAAGGGGGTGGAGGTTCTCTCCTCTCTCTCTCCCTTGTCTCTCCTGCCATGTTCCATGCCTGAAGCTGTTGATTCAACTGCTGTTGAACATGTGGCCCATTTTGAAGAACCACAGGCTGACGGAGTGGGATGGATGGTGCTGGGACACCTCTTGTCACAGGTGTTGGGGACATTCGCTTCAGCATCTGAGCCACACTTGTTGGCACCCCAACCCCTACACCATCTCCCCCTCTTGAACCTACAACAGAATCCCAAACAACTCCTCAATAAAGATCTGAAAGGAAGCATGTAACAGTACGAAAAGTTACCACCACTTGTTCATGGCTTAAGTGGAGACATGGGAACACATCAACAACTTGATGAACTCTGTTAGAGGCCAAGAAGTTATTTCCAAGAAAATTGCCACTGCTCAGTGAGCCATGGAAAGGCATAAACTGCCTACCTTGATTGCTGACAAAATAATTGAGAGTCCACTCAATATATTATGTATTCCATATAAAAGCAACTTTTTCTGGCAGTCACAGATCCAATTCTTATTTTACTCATTCCTTGAAAAAATGTAAATGAACTCCAATCTCTATGGTGCAGTTTCCATAGAAAGAGAAAAGAGAAATGGCCATGGGTAACAGTCTCAGTTTGGGTGCACAGGTTCCAAGTTTTTGACCATTTTGCTGCTGTTACATTTTGGACTTGCATTTTTGGTATTTCATTACAAAACCACCAATAGACAGATATGCCACATGATGCCAACAGGAAGCTAGAATATTAACCATAGTGGGGCAAGTTGATTCTCAAACAGAAGAATGACAATGAAGAATCACTTAACACAAGGGTCCTAAAGCATACTCTCATCAGATACAAGAGATAATCACTGTGCCACAGTTCCTTCACCATCCCAGTAGCAGCAATGTAATGAGGAATAGCTAATTTTCTTCTACAACTATGTGAATTTAAGCTTCATATCTAATGCCATAAATTCCTTACAGACTATTAAGTAAATTAGAGGGAAGCAACTGATAAAATAATACTTTAATTTCACAGAAGAGGAAAAAAAGGGCCATCCCTCTCAAAATTGCTGCACCTTCTTGGGAACTGTGCTGACTAGGATAGACCCTTCAATGATGTCTTCAAACAACTTTTGAATCCTTGCAACACCATTATCTTTATATTGAAAAATTGTAATGGCTGCCATTACTTTTTTTTCAGGAAAATTAGCCACATCTTGCCTTTGATTCAGCTAACTATTGGCTATTCAGCTAAAAATATATATTAAAAAAAGGCTGAAATAACTGCACCTGATCATTACTTTTGAATGCACCTTGAACATTTCCATAGTTTCCTGAGACAAACCTGAAGCAGGTGAAGGAGGTGGTGGTGGAGTAGGGGGAGGAGGTGGAGCAAGAGTTCCCCTTGGTGGTGGAGGTGGTGGGTCCATGGTATTCCCACGTGGTGGGAGAGGTAAACGTTCCTCTTGAACCTTCCTCATCACTTCACCTATGCACAAACACATTCAGATATACTGCACTCAAAATGAATGGGATAAAATTCAAGGTTTCTACTATCAACTTAATGTCATGCCTATGGGAAATGGTTTATCATATAGGTGTTTCACACTTCCCAAGTACCAGTGGCATGGATGAAGTTAAGACAAGGGCAGTTCTGTAATATTTGAAAAAATTCCTGACAGGAATGTGTGAATTCCTTTAACAGCTACATTTTTGTGGCATATAGGCTTTGCATCTAATGTCACTATTTTATTTTGCTTACTTTTAAGCACCATTAGATGCACCTATTTATTTTTATTTATCAAAAAAGAATCCAAAGGACAAATATTTATTTTTCTACATAAAGACAATAATGCTGCCAACATTAACTAGCACAAAAATTATCAGTGGAAGTTATGCCTTTCACTAAAAACTAGTCCTGAGCTTTAATGAATAAAATTTTTCCCAAATGTCATCAGTTGCCTAACTCTTTCATGCACAAAAACTTCAGGTGAAAAAAAATCCATTGTTGCATGTTTTTAATTTCAGAAAAATTGCAATAAGATACATTTATTTGACATAAATGAACACAATTACCACAATCATTAAGAAATACTCCAGCAATCTGTTGGCAGCAAGAAACAACTACTAGCAGTGGTAATACAAGGTGATTCTGGAAATGAACCACCATAACATCACAAACAGGTGGTCTATTAATTGTACCACCAACCATGAAACAGTTAAACGAACTATGCTCTAGTCAGAAAGAAATTCATGACATTAGAAATAAATATGAAATTTCATATGGAAAGATGAAGCAATCAGGCAGTGATCATTACTTTCTGAATGTGCCTTGAATTCTAACTAATGTCCAGTCCTAATGAACTGGTGTCCCTTGATAATTGATTCCAGGATCTTACAATCTGACTGACCCTTTTCTTTAAGATGCACTATTCGCACCATGGCTTAGCATGCAGAGATTTGAATTTGTTCTAACTGGTGTGGATTTACACCCCAATTTATACCAATTTCTATTCCAACAACTATGGCCAGAGGATTTTTCTTCATACAAAAGCAGAATGTTCCTAATTCTTCATTATCTACTACTGTTCTAATAAGTTGTTTTTCATGTGATTAGAGGCATTTTTTTTCCTCAAAAGAGTACCAGACCAGTGCTTCATGATAAATCCATGAGAAATATTCCAATTTGAATTGAGGTTGTTTTCACTACAAACCCTGCATGAAATTTCATTCCAAGTGCTCAGGTAGTAAGCCTCAAACTAGTCTGAATTCCTCCAAATATTACTTCACAGAAGAGCAATACAGACTTCCACCAACATACCATGTATGGGAGGGGAGCTTGATTGTTTCCTCTCCCTGGCATCTACACCTTGCAGCTGATTGAAGATCTCCAGCACTGAATTAATAGGTCGTCCCTCAAGGATCTTTGTGCATGCCTCCTGTGACAGATAACATAAAGCACCATCAATTTAGATAAACACAGGATATTAAGCATTTAGCAGAGTTTATATTAACATGGCACAAAGCATTAAGCATGGAAATCTTATTCAAAGACAGCCTTTAACAGGCTGTCTTTATATGAATATAGGTAACACATACAAAATATAGCAATTTTTATGAATAATTATTACACTCTGAAGTCTTGTTCACTTCAAGTAGGTGTTCTAGCATGATCTGGTTTGTGCCAAATGGTTTTGGATATATGTAATTGGAGAATCTTTTTCAGTTGGAAAGTATCTCCAGAGATAGGTACTTAGGCAGGAAAATGTCTAGAGCCACATCACATTAACCCCTTAACTGGGAACTTTTGAAGGCATATGTGCAGTGATTCCATTTAAGGGGTTAACAGCTACATTAGTAGTTAGCTTATATGACTAAACAATATATTCAAACGGGAATATCATGTCATAATGACAAGGTATCAGAATGGATATTATCCTTTTAGCCAATCTGATGAATATTTATGCTTACTGATCATTTCTCTAAGGTAACTGATGGAAGGACTCACCTGCTCATATCCCAATGCAACAAGACGCTGGACGACATGAAACCTTATAAGGCTTGGATCCACACCATTTGGGGCACCAGCTGCACTGCTTTCTGTGCTCCCACTATAATAACTGGCTGAACTGATCCCACTGGTTGTGCTGGAAGCACTGGACACATCATACGGTTGCAGGGAATTCCTGATGGCAGCCAAAGCCTTCTGTTGATATGTGCTCAAATTCTGAAGTTTGGGGAGAGCATTGGAGGTCATGGTGGCTGCCATAGGGCTCCCACTTGTGTTGCTATTCCACTGCTCCACGTTCTCCACTGTCAGAGTGTTTGGCCTCCCTCCCACCTAGATGGAAAGAGAATAATCAAGCCTGGCCAAAATTCTAACATGAAAGCTTCTTTTTATGATATTGTAGCTTCTTTTTATTAATAAAAATAATTGTATGATAATGAGAAATACGAACATTCAAATGTTCTTTCGATATTGAGGGTGCGGTGGTTTCCAAACAGAAAGCAATGTCTTTCTTCCTCATATGAGTAGTCACCCAGGAGAGAACAGCTCACATCAACTGACACACACAAAAGTATCACCCAAAACAGAGGTTTCAGGAGCAGGCCTTTACCATGACAGGCCTAGACATTTGTTTTTAGCATTCCATTATCAGTTCCACATTGCAGTGTGAACACCCACAATAGCCCAATGCTGCTATAGTAGCCTTCAATGCATCATGCCTGACTCATGCTTTTAGCTACCTTCATTCAAGAATGATTGTACAATCATGAAGGCCAGGCAAGCCATAGCCATACCAGTAATAGTGAATCTGAAACAAAGATTCCAAGTAGCATGAATTCACAATGAAATATAACTTTTTAAAAATACAAGAACAAATTAGTTTCCTGTAACAAAACAACACATCATATGGGACCAGCCTTTCACTCAGTATGCCAAGGATAGGCTTATTGTCTTCATGCGAAATAAGGACTTGTCTGCTTTGGTTATGTTATGGCTGTTCAGCTGACAGTCACCTGATTGCAGTGGATTGCCTCATTTTGTGGGGAATCACCTAATGTAACTGCCCCTGCTGACCATATGACTTACTAAGAACAGGTCACCAATTGGAGCTGGGCAAAGGCTAATGTTGGGATTAAGACTAGACTAGGCATGGTAGCCTGGCCCTTCCTTGATAGACATAAAAAGTTTTGATCAGGCTGCCATATGCAAATATTGAGTATCATTTATGCTAAAACATTGAGTCTTAATACATTGGGCAGTTTCCCCAGTATGAACATTTTTTTTCTTAATCTACCTAAAAATCTGTATCATATCTGTTAGTGGGAAACAAAAAGGTCAACCTGATGGCAATAATGAAAGTCCCACATAGTCCAAGTTAAAAAAAAAATCAATAAGTCCAATTTCTCACCACTCCAACTATACATCACAATAGTCTTCAAAGTCTTCCATTCATTCAAAGTCCTTCATAAAGGCTAGCTATGCTTAACTACAAAGATGCCACATGCCCTGAGTCAGCCGCACTGTTCAACTATTCAATCATGTCTCATGTTACTGTGAAGCCTAAGACTGGGATTTTCCATCACTGGACACTGCCTAGATCTCCCTGATACTAGTCACCATATTGTGTCCCTCTCCCCTTCCATAGGCAAAAGACTTCCTTGGAGGCCACCATGTACACTGTACAGGAGCTACATGTAAGCATGTTCTAAACTGGAGTCCCATTTTTCTCCAGCAGGGCACAGAGGGATGCAGGGGAAGGAACAATGGAATCACAGCACCATCCCTGAATATATGCATGGGTAACACTTGGAACCCTCCAATCCCATGGCAATCCCCTCACTTTTCTAGCATATTTCACTGGACTCAGACACTGGAAGTTACTCACAAGGGAGAATCCAAGTCAAGTGAAAAACACTGAAACTTTTAATTCATAAACAGTTGGTTGGCTAAGTCAGAAAAAGAGATGCACTTTGGCAACCCTGACATGTAGTAACATGCAACTGACTATGTCCTATGAATAGAGGGAAAACTGGAGAAATTCTGACACCTGCAACTGCCACTAGGAAATGCATTTAATGTCGCTTCCTTATTTATTTGCTGTGTTTCTTTTTTTCCAATCAACACAGGGATGGAGATCTGATCCAGTCACTCCCACTCTTCCCTCTCACTCCTTCACATAGGAGGGAACCAGCCAAGCAGGGCTTCCTGTTATATATTGATTTCAGATTGGATGGGTGATTTTGTGGATCAACAAGTGATGTGGATCCTCTGGATGCAGTCATATTGTGTCCCTCTTCTTCAGACCTTGTCTCCTCATATTATTAATTCATAATCTACCTTCAGTAGTGAATTTCACATCCAACTTCTTTGCAGAGTAACTCTTTACTGCAAAGATCCTCTTAATTCTTTCCAAATATGGTGATATCCCAAGATCTGAATGATTCTATTACATGGTATACAGAAAACTACATAAAACTGCACACTAATAATATGTACAGCATCCCATTCATTCAGTCCAAGATAGGCCTGAATGTTGAAACCTCCTTTAGATAATGGTCCTTAAGAATAAATGAATTCCTATGGGGAAAAAAGAGCTCTTTAAGTTTAGGGGCCCTTTATCTCCCTTAAATGAGATTAGTGCATTCAGGCCATAGTTTCTAGGCCTACAAATGACTACACTTGAAACCACCAATGTCAATGAGTTTTGATCCCAGAAAACAAAATTTACTGCACTGTTTAACTGTCAAAAAACTATTCAAGTAGGCCCGATCCAACGGAATGTTTTCCAAAATGTTGACTGAATTCATTAGCATTCAAAAGTATTCATGAGTAAATAGCAAGCTCATGCATACCAGGACCTTTATTCAAATAAATTTCTTTTATTCTATCATTAGACAAATTAGTCCTGGAATACACTTCCTAAAATCAATGCTTCACAGATTGAGACTTAATGAAGTATACTGAACTCCAGAGATATTACTGCCTTGATCTGTCCTATGCACAAGTCTCTTGATACTATGCCTACCTCTCCATCTCATCTTCTGTTGCATGCCTATGTGCCCTACTCATGCATTTATTCCATGAAACTAACTTTTAAATGAAAAAGAAGTCCATAGGGAAGGTTAGATTACATTTAAGGTCCCCTCTGAGGTTGAAAAGTGTAGCAAGGTTGGGTCAGATGGGCTGTATACTTTGGATCCCATCAGGTGTACGAATTCTTGTTCGTGCTGCCTCATACTCTTATCCATGCTTATCTTGCACATGGGATGTTACAGCATTTGCATTTCAAACATTCCTCAATGAACTAAAACTGAAGTGTAGAGGCAAATGTTCAGGCCTAACATTGGTCTAGCTAGAGGTTTAAGTTCCGAATCCGGATCAGACCTAGGCCTAATATCGTTAATATTTGCCTGACGCTAGCCAAGCCAATGGTGAACCCAGGCATAGTGATACGCATTCATAGTTAGACCTAACCTAACCTAACGTTACGCCTAGGCCTAACGTTTACTGCGTGAGAAAAGGAAGGGACGACAAAAAAAAAGTTCGTTGAGGAAAAAACACAACGAAGTGAGAGAAGAAATGAAGGGACAGGGTGGAGAGCGGGAGTGAGACAGCAGTGGTTCTCTCCCTCGTAGCCTGTGGGGATGGGAAATAGAACGCGTGGAATGCGGAGTAGAGGAGAACTTGGTCGGGATCAGCTCTTGTCCCGGCTGGAATGCAGCACGAGCACACCGCACTCCTCACTCACACACTCACACTCCGTCACTCGCACACTCGCTATGGTGGCCCCGAGCACTCACAGTGATGATGTACCAAAAAGGTGACGCATCTCTAGGCCAGAAAGATCGGTTTAAGTATGGATTGGTAGATCGAATAAGACCAGCAGTACAGGAGCAATGAAATATAAAGGGGAAAAGTATTATTTTGAATTAATACAGAGGACTGAATTTCTCAAAGTCAAAGAGGACACTGATTTAGCCTGCCTGGTCTACAATCTGACATCGGAATGTATTGGGTTACTAGTCTATTAGGTGGTTGACGTGGGAAAAATCGGTTAGGTTAGCCAGGCAGGCAGTCGAGGAGAGGCTAGATCTTTCGGAGTGTTCATATCAGCATTCCATTGGCTCTTTGAGGAACGTTGCGAATGAGGAAATTAATTACAGAGAACGGGGCATTGGTTGGGGTTTTCAATTATTTCAACCGTTTTCGCAAGGGAGCTGGAGGAAGGAAATTGTTTATCCTCTTTAGTCCCGAGCATTTTCCTGCGCAATGCATTCTTTTCTCTTTTAAAAATTGGCTGTACCACTTTGAAGGGTCTCTTGGAATTCATTGCTGAGAGTTTGTCTGCTTCCCGTCGTATTTCTACACATTTGGTAAACTGCATTTTTGGTAAACTGCATTCCTCCAATGAATGTATATTCAATCAAATATAAAATCCTAAATGTTCAAAATTCTGGGCATCAGGACCAAAGAAGTTAAAGGGTAGGATGACCAGACTTCCGGTTTTACCGAAACAGTACGACTTTTTTAGGCTTTGTCCCGGTATGAATTTTCCTTTCCATTCTGGTGTCCTGGTTTTTCCTTATTGCAAGGACTAACATTTGGACATTTTCTTGAAAATGTTCCGGTTTTTCCTAAAAAAAAACTCTGGTCACCCAATAATAGGGTAACTTAAAAACGGAAAAAGCGACCGGTCCTGATGAGATTCCCATTCGGCTCTCCGGTCGTATCGCAAACTAAGGATTGTAGATAACGATATTAGGTAATAATGGTAGGTAACGATGGGGCAAGCACTCGTGGTACTAACGGTGAGAGGATACGATAACATGGACCAGTTCTCGTGCGATGTAGAAGCATTTACTTTGACAGTTGTTGGTGACATCCGTTGTGGGGGAAGTTTAGCTGCAAGTAAAGCAAAGATGCGTTCGAATTACTTGAGTTGTCAGGCATGGAATGCCTGCAACAGACGGACTAGCTCAAATGAACCTTGTATTTGACAGTGATTGTCCAAATCCAAACAGCAGAGTTCCGTGCGGGAACATCCTTCATCCCCACCCTCGAAGAAATCTCGCGTCGCGAAAACTCCAGACAAGGTGATGGATCCGTTTTTCTTTGTCATTCAGGACATTTTTCTGACACATTTCGTGGAACTGAGAACCACAATTGCAGGTATGGCGTATACAGACATCTTTCGTAATGCACGGAGCCGAGCACTGCCAGACAAAAGGCCTTCACTCTTGCATGAGACACGACGATGTTCGTCCACAAATCGCTGGAGCAGGGCAGGATTTAACACGCTCACTGCGGCACGATTAACCGGTGACTCACACAGCATGATGCATACCTGTAGGCATTTTGGTCTCGTAGTGAACGTGTTAAGCTGCAGTTGGTGCCGAAGCCCCACCACTTCCTGCTCGTTCCTCTTCTCTGGTTCCCTCTCACTTGTAGTTCCTTCTCAAATCAAAGAGCAAACAGAAAGGACACCGATTCAGCACCGATATACGGTGCTGAATGAATATGGAGCTGAAAGCAGCCGTGACGATGGAGCTTCGACGCATGCTGGAGAAGGTGCGCAGGACGCACATATTGCATGGATCCATCGCTTGGAACAGATCCATTACGCTACACTGGGATTGTGTTGAAGTGCAGGTTCACCAGGACCCGGTCATGTAAGGGAGGCTTGCAATGAATCAATCTTAATACACCATTCCTCAAATGAAAACGCTGTGGATTCGCAGCAATTGGGAAGGACAATTCTATTTTCCCTTGATCGCCCTGTCAAAACTCCTGCAAGAATCTTCATGAATACTCATGTATACAGAATCAAAGGAGACGAATAGAACTTTCCAGCCCCTCTCACGGCGCGGAATTTCGGGCGATGAACAGGAGGGGTTACATCCTCTCGAGAAGATTGGGGGAGACCTGTGTTTCTTTCAAATGGTAATATACCATTCTAAAAAAAAAACGCTCTCCCTGAGCTTCTCGAGTGGATCCTCCTCCTCCTCTCCTTCCTCTTCATTACTCGAAATTCCGAGCACCGATCACGACGAATTCTATATCGCTGAAAGGGTCTCTTTGTTTCCTTTGATTCAATACACGATACATGACGACTGTCGCAGCAGTTTTGATATGGTGCTTGAGAAAAGATGAAAGGGTTCGCCCAGTCCGCTGCCTGTGCAACGCTCAGTTTTTTTTATTATAAATAATGTATCTAAAGGACAACCGTCATATTCTTGAAGCGAAGATTTCAGCAAAAGGAATTGGCTGTAACTAATAATTCAGTAGGGTGACCTGCAGTCTTAAAGGATGAAAATAAAAGTAAAATGAAGTAAAAAGAGGCCTTGGAGGATACTGATATTTCTATCTGTATCTCAAACTCTAACTTCAACATATCTAGCATCAGTTTCTTGAATACATTCTCTGTAAACTGAGTATTTGTACCTTTTATCTAGATAATTTTATCAAGTATGAGGCTCATAACTGGTAGCGAGCAATCCTCCAGAACTCTCCGTCTTGAACACTTCTTTTCCTGCATGAATTAACGAAGTTAATCTTGTGCTTGCCGGTAAAATCAGTAAATTAACAGATGATACGAAAATAGCCCTTTCTGTAACGGAGGAGGAGAAGACGAGAGCCAAGCGAAACTGCAAATTCACAATGACCGGAATAATGTGAGGACTCTGAATGTGTTCCGTGAGAATATTCTTGCACAGAGAAAGTTCTGATGGATGAGGAGCTAAACTTTTGGAACATGCATGCGCTGTTGACAGTAGCTTAATAGGACAAGGATTTTAATATTATCCGTCAGGCATCATCACTGCATGCAATAGTTCACTTACAATATATAATTTAGTGTGGATGAAATAATCAACGCTATAATAGTTACGAAATCATTTGTTGGACTATTAAAACTTTGAGAAAAAATAAAACACATTTCACAAAATAAAATTTGTCGACTACACTAGCCGCATTTGAAATTTCAACACCAAGCAGGAAGTAAGTGATATTGATTAAATTTAGTACACAAGCTCTGAGTAGTGTCGTGAAATCGACTAGAGTTTCAAAGGCAAAAAATTCTTCACAGAGAAAACTTGTAAAATGTCCTAAAGAAAAATGTGAGTGGCCTAAAAAAATGCATCAATTGAATGCTAGAATAAGAACTCCTAACGTTGTTTAGGAAAAGGTAAAAGTTTCATGTTCATAGAATGAGGCTATGCAAAGATAACTTGCCGAGCGCCCGAGGAATGAGTGAAATGAGTGGTTTCACTGATAATGCCAGTTTCCTGTTTCCCTCAAGTCAATTTGTTCTTGCGCTATCGTTGAAAGCTTAATATCATCAAATTTACCCATTTGACCGAGATCGGTTTGTTTGAATGATGGAAGCAGGTCTCAGCATGACTCAGGACGCACATCGCCTTGGAAGGAATGCCATCACTGTGTGACGCCGGAGGACCCAGTTTCGGAACGAGAGCAACCATGAACAGGTTGCATCCTCAAGTACAGGCCTTCCCCAGCCGTCGTGATGCGAGGGAAGCGCCGAGCCGAGCTGCCGTTCGTGGTTGCCCCCATTCTGAAACTGGGTTCTCCAGTGGTGCACAGCGATCACATTCTGAACAAATGCGATGTACAACCTAATGCATGCTAACGCCTACTCCATCATCTCAGGAAACATCGTCTAGGTGTGGCTTCACAGCTAAAGATTCAAACGACAAGCGAAGTCTCTTGCGGGGAAGAGGAAATGGAAATTGTGCCATCAGTGAGGCCATCCTCTCCCCCCATTTCTCAGACATTTTACTCAGTTTTTCTTCTATAGCGTCATCTTGAAACTTTATTCGCATTTCCTCGACGCGATTCTTGGTTCATATTTATATACATAAACTCCTAGGTGTTTCTTCGGGGCGATTAATAAGATCCCCACACCCTCTTTTATACTGTATAAGGTGTGTTCAAAAAGTTCGGGTACTGATTTTCTTATACCTTGAATGGGATCCGCGATCTGTTGCTGAAGCAAAAAAACTAAATTGTGTACTTGA